TAAAATAGATGTAAACCCCACACTGAAATAATAAAGGGAGGCACAAACTTATGAAAATCGTAGGGGTCGACCCCCAAAATAAAGTACTACTACTGACGCCTGCATTGTCTTCACGAAGAAAAATCCCTTTATTTATTTTGAACATTTTGACATAGGGCAGGTTTGAAATCCACCCAAGGGAGGTGGAATGCATCTTTTCAATGGCTAATGCCATTGGGCGTCTAGGGCCAGGTGCAAAAAGTTCCTTTATTGGATAAAATGACAGAATGAAAATTACATAATGAGGTTTAATTTTGGCCTTTAAGGTAATTTTGGCTTATAGTAAAATGATAGAATTGGCCCATAAATTCTAGTTTCTACACAATATAATCCTCAGCTTTCTAAGTTCTTCATTTTGGTCCTAAAAGTTTTGATTTCTTCAAATTAAATTCTTTTCCACACAAAGAATGAAAATTATGCAAAATCAAGTAAAATCTCATAAAATTCATCCAAAAATCAATAATATCAAGATAAAAATTTTGCATTAATATGTATATAAATTTTATTCTTCAGTGGACATCAACACATCAATTATAGTTTATTTATGGTTGCTAATTATACATATATGTATTCAATAATGTTTGATATGGTTGGTTTGGGCTTGTTGCCTTCCTGGAAAATGAGTCTTCTATATGGATCACTAAGTCTCTTTACTTGAGCAGGAATTCAAGCTGAGTTGATTTTGAGAACCATTGCGAGGAAAGTAGAAAAGGATGGTGATTCTAATGATGCTTACTGGGGAGATAGGGTTTCTTTTAGTGAGGATAAGTTGTTGGAGTACTCAAATCAAATAGCAACGATGTCATGATATGGCTTAGGAGAAACCTTTGATGGAAGCTCATGCAAACACTTCTTTTTTTTGGAAAACAATAATTACACTAATAATTTTAGTGTCTACTGTTAAAAAAAGGAGAATTATTAATTCTAAGACTCAAACGTTATACCTCCCGGGAGTGCCTTCACTTTGCTTCTCAAAGATAAGCATAGCCATTGGAGCCACATGGATGAATAGCGCAAAAGCTATTTGCTCTGAAGGTGGTCATATGCTAAACATTGGATTTGGAATGGGCCTTGTTGATATAGCCATTCAACAGTATGCTCCAGCCACACACACAATTGTAGAGGCCCATCCAAGGGTCTATGAATGCATGCTTTGCACTGGCTGGTTGAGAAAGATAATGTTTAAATAGTATTAGGCCGTTGGCAAGTTGTTCTTTCTCAACTCGAATCTTATGGCAGTACACTTTCTTTCGCATCTCAAATCTTATGATTGTAATTTAAAATTAGTTGAATTTTTCCTCTAGAAGCACTTCATATCTTGAAAGCCATTTGCTGTGCACTCAGAATAAGTTCTGTTGAACGCTAAAAACCCTTTTTTTTTTTTTTGCCATCTATCAAAGCTAAAAGAACCATAAAGAAACCGACTTCACTACTCTAAAATTTACTTTACATTTTTAAATGCTAAAGTTGGCATTTCCTAGCATGGGGTTTATTTCATTTGAAGGAGTATATTTTCTTACTCTTTCAATCCATTTAGGTGTTTTCCTCGACACATGTGGAGAATATTATGAAGATCTTTGGGAGCTTCATCGTCATCTTCCTAAGCTATTGAAGCCTGGAGGAATACACTCATTCTTCAATGGCCTTTGTGGAGACAATGCATTCTTCCCTGTTGTTTACTACCATCTAGTTTCACTAGAGCTTGAGAATTTGGGCTACTCAACACAATTAATCCCCCTGCCTGTAAGGATTGCTTGAGAGAAGACGTTTGGCAAGGTGTGAGACATAAGTATTGGCAGCTTGATACATATTACCTTCTTGTTTGTTAGTCTCAACGGTACTTTGAATGATTTTGGCATATCTGCAATGTTAGAATCGGAACTGCGGAATGCTAGTGTCAAGTAACTATGAGATGTCTTTTGTTATCTATTATCGATCTTTTTTTGCAAAGAATGTGATGCAGCCTTCTGGATGAATGATATACAAGTCCCGAAAGGCACAAGGAGCATCGGCCTGTTAGACAACCATACAAGTACTGAGTTTATCACTAGTTGCTCAACTGATCTTGCAATAACTTACAGTTGTAAATAGAGTTACTAGCTCCTTAAGGAGAAGCTTCCTATTTTCATCCTTTGATATGTCCCTTCTACTGACATTCTAGATGCATAATACTGCAACACAAATACATGCTATTGGAGTCACGTCTCTTGAAACGCGCTATAAACTGACATGATTTGTAGGAGATACATTAATAGCTGTTGTTGAATGGTAGACAGTTTTCAATTTAATCTGTGCTTTGCTTTGTTTTAAAAATGATTATATGTTGGTGAAATTTAGCTTGTCGCTTTATTCTTTGCGTCTGAGTTTTCCAACATCCCCCAAGCATATGTCCATAATCATATCTTTAGTCACTGTTATTCCTTATATTTGTTTCTACTGGCTACTGCTATACGCACTAACGAAGGAGACTCAAAATTATGTAGTACATTAACAATCCTTGATTCCTTGATTTCTTATAAGTACAAATTATGAAATTAGTAACCATGAAAGATCAGAATTTAATGCAAGTCTAGGTACAAATACTAGGAATTTAGTCTAAAATTCGCATGCCAGTCTAAGTACAAATAGTAGGAATTTAGTCTAAAATTCACATGCCAGTCCCTAACATGGCTTATTGTACAATTATTTGCAACCCCAATCCCCCAACCCCTTTTTTAAGTTTTTCTTGTCCCTGATTTTGGAGGAGTACGTTTTGTTACACACACGACTAGCTTTGGTTGCACGGTTGCTCCTTTGTGAAGAGAAAAGAGTACAATAAAAAATAAAATGATGATAATAATAATAATAAGACTTCTTTACAGTCTCAGTATTTGGAGAGTCATCAGCTGTTGACCTATTCCAATTGCCATCACTATCATTTCCAAGTGAAAGCCATCAGGCTACTTATAGTGTGTTTCCCATCTGACCATACCAGACTAGCAAAGCTGGCTGTTCCAGATCGCATGGAACCAGCAGTGAAAGTTACGGTATAGCTCTTCTTCTCGTATTTTTTACTGAAACTCAACAATGCTGGTTCAACCAAGATCCTCACTGCTTTTGTCTGTGAAACCACTGAAACCTCATATGTTCCAGGTGAACCTACATTAGTCAGAGTTATAGAATATTTCAATATGCTTGTGACACTAGTACCACCCTTCTTTCCTGAAGCACTTTGAGGAGGAATTGAAAGGGATGGATAATTTAAATCTGCTAGTGAGTAGTTTTTGCTTGAATCACAGGTGAAGTCTCTATTTGTGACTCACTTGATTTGACTTGATGTGTAGCCCACGTCACAAAGGAAGTCAAGATAGTCATCAACAGTGGTGTCATAAATAAGGCCAGGATCAAAGGCTTCTACCGGATCCACATGCCCTACACTGTAAGCGAATGGTGTCGTTGGTTGTCTGGTGGCAACATCTTGGATGCTTTTGCCATTTTTGTATGCTGAGTAGGCAGTGGTCATGAGGGCAAATCTAATGGCTGCTAGACTCCACTTCGGATGGGCAGCCTTGAGGAGAGCGGCTATCTCACTTACATGTGGGCAAGACATTAATGTGCCTAAAATGATATTGAACTTTACCCGCCTTTTGTCCTCTTCCAATTCACTTGGAGCAATGGCCCCAGACCACCCAGCCAATATTTCGACTCCCGGTGCAATAATGTCCGATATAAGTACCTCTAATGTGATTGGGTTTGGACCTCTTGAACTGAATGCTACCACCACCGGAGATGGCTAAACGCCCAACTCTGTGCTCCCAGAGCCAATTGTGGTCGTTGGATTAGCTTCAGTAGAGATGTATTTCTTGATAGCATCTCCAGTTTTTTCCCCAATTGCTAATGAAGGCTAGATATGTGCATTGGCAACAAGCTCTTCCTCGAAAAATTTTGTGTTTGCTAAAATCATCCCAACTCCGCCAGCCTCCTTCACAACAAATCCCTTCCTCACCCTTGAGCCTCCTCGATCACATACCACGATTTTTCCAACAACTTTAGTGGGAATCAAGGTTCCAAGGAAGCAAAAGCTGCCGCTGCTTGAACTACTCACGTTGGTGGCATAAACAATTGGCACCATGGAATTCGATATTGTCTTTCCATTGTAAAGTGAGACACCCGAATATTTTTGGTCGTCTCCTAGAGTAACAGAGACAGGGAAATCACGGTCCAAAGGTCCGGCACCTACTGTAGTTATCCATGGTGCAACATTAGACAAACTACTTGAGTAAGGCCCACCATTTCCAGCTGAGCAAGATATAAGAATTCCGTGTGTCATCGTCGAGAATGCTCCGATAGCGATGATGCCCTTGTAATACTTTGATACTCCTCCACCAAGGGACAAGGACATGATATCCATGCCGTCTTGGATTGCCATGTCCATGGCGGCTAAAATATCAAACCCAAAACAGCCGCCGAGCTAGCACACCTTGTAAATGGCTACTCGAGCTTTTGTAGCCATCCCTCGTGCCGTCCTTGAAGCAAAACCAAATAAGCTAGCATCAAAAACAGCCGATCTAGCTACCGTTGTTGAGGTGTGACTTCCATGTCCATCGTCATCTCTAGGCGATTTTGATTCGACAGTTTCGTTAATAGGTCCGACGGCTCCTTTATACCCTTTTGAAGAATACCTCGCACCAATCAGTTTCTTATTGCAACTGGATGATTTGAAGGTCTTTCCCACTTCACATTCGCCTTTCCACTTTTTCGGTGCTGGCCCAAGCCCTTCGTCATTGAAACTCTCTAGCTCCGGCCAAACACCAGTGTCCAGCACACCGACAATCACACCACTTGCCAACTCAAACATAGGGAATGCCGCACTACCCTTTCCTAACCCAAGAAATCCGGGGTTCGAGTAGTATGCAATTCATATCTTAATTTAGGAATTACAGAGAGAATCCTTTGCTACTCTTCGAGTGCTTTGGCTTCCTCAGCCGTTAACCTCGTGGAGTAGCCATGGATTGCATTGCTGTAAATGTAAAGCATGGATGCAGAGTCTAAAGCAGATTTCAACAATGAATCATACCATTGGAGATGGTCGGTGAAGCTCTCCGACATGTTAGTCTTGTCCATGTGGATTATGTAAGTTTTTCTGTGTTGCTCTGCTATCACGTTTGTGAAACATAGAATCACAAAAAACAGAGAAATTTCAAGAAGCTTAAGCTTCAATGGCTTCATCTTGGACAGAATTCAGTAAGAACAGAGTAAGAAACAAGATTATGTTGGTCTATTGGTTTTGATGAATGAGGGTCTTAATGGTTTTTTTTTTTTTTGTTAGATTAATAGGTTAGAATCTGCTCTAAAAAAAATTCAACTTGGGATCAAGAGTGCATTTCACCGGTTGCTCTTTTAGACAACAATGGCCACCATTGGGCCACAATAGAGGAATGCAATGGTTCTTTATATAATGAATTAATGACACCAGCACAGCCCAAATTTTGATAGCCTAGATAATTTCCTCATTCAATAACTGACAAGGATTCCTGTGATTATTGATTGATAACGATTCATGTTGGGATTTTTTGGAAAGTGTGGAGAGAGAATTTGGAAGAGAAGGAAAAGATACCCGGAGTTCCTCTTATTGGGAGGTAAAATTTCATTTTCTTCTATTAATATTTTTTTATTTATAACAAAATTTTAACCAATATTTATTTAATACAAAAAAAAATTTATCAAACATTTCAAGTAAGATTACATTAAAAAAATTTGCAGTAATTTTGTGCAACTCCATGTGGCTGTCATGTTGTTGCTGATGTCCGTGCAACTCTCACCTCATTTCATTTGCTGCAACTGTTGCAGCTTTGACACCACAAATTCAACAATTCAAGCATCGTGTTCTTCCTTGTTCCTTCATACTTACTTCCAAGGTAATTCCATGACCAGGGGCGGATCCACTTGGAGACCTGGGTGGCCTCCCTTGGGATTTTAAAAAGCCAATTAATTTATATATTAATTGATTAATTTTAATCATTAAATTTTAAATATTTTATTTTTAATTATTAAAATACATAAAATTAAAAAAAAATTACCCATTGAAATGGTGGGCTCTAATCACAAGTCCAATTATAATTTAGGTTTCAAAAACCTATTAAAAATCAATTACCACTTTAACTTTGAAAAAAAAAAAAGCCCAATTTTTTATGCTATTCGTACAACTGTCACGACCTACTGGCTCTGTGTCTGCGCTCAAAATTCAACTTAAAAAGAAAAAAACAATTCAGGGAATCGAGGAATTCCACCAAGTGGATCGATGAGCTGCGCGTCTCATCAAGAGAGATGAAATGTTTATTAAATCTGGAGTTCGAATTTTCAATTATTAACAACTAATAAAACTAATTTACTAATTATTGTCTTTGTCAAAAAAAAAATTCAGGAAATCGAGCTGTCAAATCAAGGTACTAAATCAATGAAATCAAAATTGTTTTTTATGCTTTTAAATTTCTTATCTACTAAAAATAGTCCATTCTCTTTTTAGTTTTTTGGAATCAAAGAAAGAAACACTGCAATCTCGACCTTCTGCTATTGCTATAATTGAAGGGACTGGTCACCAATGGACGATGAAGTGGAGTACAGAGAGTAAGAGATACTCTCTTTCTCTTAGTCTTTTTTGGACTAATGAATGGGACCACAAATTATAAGTTTCTTTTATTTTAGTTTAAACTTTTGTCCCATACTTGTTACTAAATATGTTTTAGTATTTTAATTATAAGGTAACATAACACATTAAAATCTCTAAAATTTATCTAAATTCTACATCTTAAAAGAAAATTCCAAAGGTAACTAATATATGTTTCTCTTTTTATTTATAGGATATAATGCATGGAGATCACTAATGTGCTTTGTCAAGCTCTACAGTGTAAATCTTAAGATATTTTGAATGCCTTAAACCTTGTCAAATCAACGAAGACTCTCATTCAACAACTCAAAAAAACTGAGTGAGATTCTTTACTTGAAAAGGTAAATTATTTTATAAAAATAATAATATGGATGTTGCTGACATGTTTGCTACATATGTTGCACAAGAAGGATGTGCTTGTCATTAGCAAGATATTATTACTATTGAGCACTATTATCAAATAAATATTTTCTAGGTTGCAGTGGATTTCCCATTGCAAGAATTGAATGGTAGATTTAATGAAAATGCAACGGAACTATTGACTTTTAGTAGTACTTTGGATCATAGAAATGGGTGCAAAGTTTTAATATTGATAATATTTGTAAGTTTATAAAAAAAATATTATCCTCAATTTTTTAGAGATAGAGAAACTTCAGTTAACAACAGAGTTTCGATATCATGAGATTGAAACAAGTTATGAGTAAGGTTTTCAAAATTTATCAAACATTTCTGAACTATGTCAATGACTCGTAGAGATAAGAAATCAGAAATCTATAGTCTTATTTATAAGTTAATTATTATGGTACTTACTCTTTCAGATTCTACAACAACAACAAAAAAAAGAGCATTTTTTGTTATGAAAATTGTGAAAATAAAGCTTCATAACAAAATGGAAGATAAATTTCTTTCAAATTCTTTGATTATTTACATTGAAAAGAAAATTATTCAAACATTTAGTGTAAATTCTATTATTAATAGATTTTGTGATATGAAAACTCTTTAAATATTATTTAATTTATGATATAAAAATTAATTTTTAAAATTATAATATATTATTTTGAGGCTTGAAAATTTGACCCCGGGGTCAACATTCCTAGCGCTTACCGTATGTTCTTCCTTATTACTTCGTACTTACTTCTAAGGTAATGCCATGACCACACATTCACAATCTTAAATCCTTCTCAGAAAGAATACATTTTTGTTTCGGTCTATTTGTGTTCATCCTTTTGAGTTTAACTTCCACAGAAGTTTGTGTCCTTGGCATTGTCGATGTTTGAAGTTTGAACTCAGTTAGTTGTACAATCACAATCCCGGATAATATACTGTAGCGGCAGTGGAATAGTGGTACCAGACTAAGCGGTACTAATAATGAAAGAACTTAAAGACAAATTTATTATTTTTTTAGAAAAAACAAATTTATTATAAAAAATAATATAATTATAACATATTATTATAATTTTATAATTATTATTATATAATTATTTTTTTATTCTAAAACTTACTCATAAAATTATATATTTCTTTAGTAACGTATTCATAGGAGAGAATTATAACTATGTTATTATTGTTTATTATTATGAATGAATGTGAGCACTATTATATTAAGGTCAGAGACAGTTTAATTTAGACCCATTAGAAAAGCAAAGCAATCAAATGGTTTTAAAATTTTAATTAGAATTTTTTTTTTTTGGTTTAGCAAGTAGGGTGTTTTTGGCCCAATATGTGCGTGTTTCAAGAATAATTTTTTCTTGATTTGATTAAGGGTAAACCATTCCTACTAAAACTAAAAAATTTATAAAGATTTTGGTCTCATAAAAACCAAGTCATTTATACTGAAATTAGAGAATTTATGAAAAATTATCATTTTATTTACCTTTTTAAGAAATTGAACTTCAATAGATAAAGTGAAAAACAAATCTCATTGTCAACTAAACCACAATTATTTTAATTAAATTACGAAGATACAGTAAGCTTATAGTTTGTGGCAATTAGCTGGAATGGACCCCTCACCACCAATAATGCCTAAAATGGATTCTAGTGTATTTCACCATATCTTCAATGTATGTACACAACTGCTTGTAAGAGTTATTTTCATTAAAAGAAATGTAGTAATCATAGATGTTTTTATCAATCGCTTAATATATTGGTAGTAGTCAGAAAGAATTTTTTTTTCAAAACAAACTTGAAATAAAAAGGAAACAAATATCTTTAGTAGTTCACGCTTATAAAAAAAATTAAAAATTATTTGGGTGAAAGAGGAACTAAAACACCTTTAATTAATCAAAGTATACATAAAATTCGTTAGGAACATTTCAATTAGTCTTTTTTAGCTCGTATTTGGCTATTGAAAAAAAGGTTTCTATCTTAAGAGAGCTAAAGAAGAGAAGTTGTGTAAAAGGAGATAGCTGTGTAGCTTTCTTATTTTCTGTCATATTTTGGCTTTGGTGAAATAATTGCCAATGTTTTTGGATCATTTGCTACTGAATCTTGAATCATTTTCATGCGGGAATCTTCATCTCATCAATTTCAGTTATCGTCAATTGTCGTTGGCACTTTGGAAGAATTATTGTATAAAACAAAAGTGCGGGGAAGAATTATTGGCAAAACGACGTTATTTTGCCATTTCCTCTTCTTAACCCCTTCAAGTTTCCAGCTTTACAAAAATAGTTCATTGACTTCTAATTTTATCATTTACTCCCTCAATAAAAATTGAGTTATGACAGTTTGCCCCTTTTACTTTATTTTTTTGTAAAAAAAAAGAAGAGTAAAGAATAAAAGAATAACCTAATTTTAAGTTTTGAAAACTATTTATGAGTGAAAGCTTCATTGCCTTCCTTGTGATCTTCATTTCTACTTCTCCAAGAATGCGATCTTCATTTAGAATGTGACTTCTAAGAAGTGGTCTTCATCTCTCCTTCTTCCTTAAATGCGGGCTTCATATAGGATGTGACTTCTAAGATGCGTTCTTCATCTTATCTTTTGTGAAATGTGGTCTTCATCTCTCCTTCTACCTTAGATGTGGTCTTTATCTCTCCTTTTTCCTTAGATGCGGTCTTCATCTAGGATGCGACTTCTAAGTTGCAGTCTTCATCTTATCTTTTGCAAAATGCGGTCTTCATCTCTCCTTCTTCCTTAGATGCAATCTTCATCTAGGATGTAACTTTTAAGATGCGGTCTTCATCTTATCTTATGTGAGATGCAATCTTCATCTCTCCTTCTTCCTTAGATGCAGTCTTCATCTTATCCTTTGCAAAATACGATCTTCATCTAGGATGTGACTTCTAAGGTGTGGTCATCATCTTATCTTTTGCCAGATGCGGTCTCCATCTCTCCTTCTTCCTTAGATGCGATCTTCATCTAGGATATGACTTCTAAGATGTGGTCTTCATTTCTCCTTCTTCCTTAGATGCGATCTTCATCTAGGAT